GCGCCGCGAGCATCTGAGACGTTCCGAGCTGTAATATCGGCCTTCCATGGTTGGTCAAACGTCTACCATGACGTCACTGTTAGTGGATCCCCAAATCTGCTCCAAGCGGTAAACACGCAGACGGTTTGCAAAAGTCGACGCAACGCGGCAGACGTCTCGGCGTCACCGCGTGCTAGCGCCGCGAGCATCTGAGACGTTCCGTGCTGTAATATCGGCCTTCCATGGTTGGTCAAACGTCTACCATGACGTCACTGTTAGTGGATCCCCAAATCTGCTCCAAGCGGTAAACACGCAGACGGTTTGCAAAAGTCGACGCAACGCGGCAGACGTCTCGGCGTCACCGCGTGCTAGCGCCGCGAGCATCTGAGACGTTCCGAGCTGTAATATCGGCCTTCCATGGTTGGTCAAACGTCTACCATGACGTCACTGTTAGTGGATCCCCAAATCTGCTCCAAGCGGTAAACACGCAGACGGTTTGCAAAAGTCGACGCAACGCGGCAGACGTCTCGGCGTCACCGCGTGCTAGCGCCGCGAGCATCTGAGACGTTCCGAGCTGTAATATCGGCCTTCCATGGTTGGTCAAACGTCTACCATGACGTCACTGTTAGTGGATCCCCAAATCTGCTCCAAGCGGTAAACACGCAGACGGTTTGCAAAAGTCGACGCAACGCGGCAGACGTCTCGGCGTCACCGCGTGCTAGCGCCGCGAGCATCTGAGACGTTCCGAGCTGTAATATCGGCCTTCCATGGTTGGTCAAACGTCTACCATGACGTCACTGTTAGTGGATCCCCAAATCTGCTCCAAGCGGTAAACACGCAGACGGTTTGCAAAAGTCGACGCAACGCGGCAGACGTCTCGGCGTCACCGCGTGCTAGCGCCGCGAGCATCTGAGACGTTCCGTGCTGTAATATCGGCCTTCCATGGTTGGTCAAACGTCTACCATGACGTCACTGTTAGTGGATCCCCAAATCTGCTCCAAGCGGTAAACACGCAGACGGTTTGCAAAAGTCGACGCAACGCGGCAGACGTCTCGGCGTCACCGCGTGCTAGCGCCGCGAGCATCTGAGACGTTCCGAGCTGTAATATCGGCCTTCCATGGTTGGTCAAACGTCTACCATGACGTCACTGTTAGTGGATCCCCAAATCTGCTCCAAGCGGTAAACACGCAGACGGTTTGCAAAAGTCGACGCAACGCGGCAGACGTCTCGGCGTCACCGCGTGCTAGCGCCGCGAGCATCTGAGACGTTCCGTGCTGTAATATCGGCCTTCCATGGTTGGTCAAACGTCTACCATGACGTCACTGTTAGTGGATCCCCAAATCTGCTCCAAGCGGTAAACACGCAGACGGTTTGCAAAAGTCGACGCAACGCGGCAGACGTCTCGGCGTCACCGCGTGCTAGCGCCGCGAGCATCTGAGACGTTCCGAGCTGTAATATCGGCCTTCCATGGTTGGTCAAACGTCTACCATGACGTCACTGTTAGTGGATCCCCAAATCTGCTCCAAGCGGTAAACACGCAGACGGTTTGCAAAAGTCGACGCAACGCGGCAGACGTCTCGGCGTCACCGCGTGCTAGCGCCGCGAGCATCTGAGACGTTCCGTGCTGTAATATCGGCCTTCCATGGTTGGTCAAACGTCTACCATGACGTCACTGTTAGTGGATCCCCAAATCTGCTCCAAGCGGTAAACACGCAGACGGTTTGCAAAAGTCGACGCAACGCGGCAGACGTCTCGGCGTCACCGCGTGCTAGCGCCGCGAGCATCTGAGACGTTCCGAGCTGTGATATCGGCCTTCCATGGTTGGTCAAACGTCTACCATGACGTCACTGTTAGTGGATCCCCAAATCTGCTCCAAGCGGTAAACACGCAGACGGTTTGCAAAAGTCGACGCAACGCGGCAGACGTCTCGGCGTCACCGCGTGCTAGCGCCGCGAGCATCTGAGACGTTCCGAGCTGTAATATCGGCCTTCCATGGTTGGTCAAACGTCTACCATGACGTCACTGTTAGTGGATCCCCAAATCTGCTCCAAGCGGTAAACACGCAGACGGTTTGCAAAAGTCGACGCAACGCGGCAGACGTCTCGGCGTCACCGCGTGCTAGCGCCGCGAGCATCTGAGACGTTCCGAGCTGTAATATCGGCCTTCCATGGTTGGTCAAACGTCTACCATGACGTCACTGTTAGTGGATCCCCAAATCTGCTCCAAGCGGTAAACACGCAGACGGTTTGCAAAAGTCGACGCAACGCGGCAGACGTCTCGGCGTCACCGCGTGCTAGCGCCGCGAGCATCTGAGACGTTCCGAGCTGTGATATCGGCCTTCCATGGTTGGTCAAACGTCTACCATGACGTCACTGTTAGTGGATCCCCAAATCTGCTCCAAGCGGTAAACACGCAGACGGTTTGCAAAAGTCGACGCAACGCGGCAGACGTCTCGGCGTCACCGCGTGCTAGCGCCGCGAGCATCTGAGACGTTCCGAGCTGTAATATCGGCCTTCCATGGTTGGTCAAACGTCTACCATGACGTCACTGTTAGTGGATCCCCAAATCTGCTCCAAGCGGTAAACACGCAGACGGTTTGCAAAAGTCGACGCAACGCGGCAGACGTCTCGGCGTCACCGCGTGCTAGCGCCGCGAGCATCTGAGACGTTCCGAGCTGTAATATCGGCCTTCCATGGTTGGTCAAACGTCTACCATGACGTCACTGTTAGTGGATCCCCAAATCTGCTCCAAGCGGTAAACACGCAGACGGTTTGCAAAAGTCGACGCAACGCGGCAGACGTCTCGGCGTCACCGCGTGCTAGCGCCGCGAGCATCTGAGACGTTCCGAGCTGTAATATCGGCCTTCCATGGTTGGTCAAACGTCTACCATGACGTCACTGTTAGTGGATCCCCAAATCTGCTCCAAGCGGTAAACACGCAGACGGTTTGCAAAAGTCGACGCAACGCGGCAGACGTCTCGGCGTCACCGCGTGCTAGCGCCGCGAGCATCTGAGACGTTCCGAGCTGTGATATCGGCCTTCCATGGTTGGTCAAACGTCTACCATGACGTCACTGTTAGTGGATCCCCAAATCTGCTCCAAGCGGTAAACGCGCAGACGGTTTGCAAAAGTCGACGCAACGCGGCAGACGTCTCGGCGTCACCGCGTGCTAGCGCCGCGAGCATCTGAGACGTTCCGAGCTGTAATATCGGCCTTCCATGGTTGGTCAAACGTCTACCATGACGTCACTGTTAGTGGATCCCCAAATCTGCTCCAAGCGGTAAACACGCAGACGGTTTGCAAAAGTCGACGCAACGCGGCAGACGTCTCGGCGTCACCGCGTGCTAGCGCCGCGAGCATCTGAGACGTTCCGAGCTGTAATATCGGCCTTCCATGGTTGGTCAAACGTCTACCATGACGTCACTGTTAGTGGATCCCCAAATCTGCTCCAAGCGGTAAACACGCAGACGGTTTGCAAAAGTCGACGCAACGCGGCAGACGTCTCGGCGTCACCGCGTGCTAGCGCCGCGAGCATCTGAGACGTTCCGAGCTGTAATATCGGCCTTCCATGGTTGGTCAAACGTCTACCATGACGTCACTGTTAGTGGATCCCCAAATCTGCTCCAAGCGGTAAACACGCAGACGGTTTGCAAAAGTCGACGCAACGCGGCAGACGTCTCGGCGTCACCGCGTGCTAGCGCCGCGAGCATCTGAGACGTTCCGAGCTGTGATATCGGCCTTCCATGGTTGGTCAAACGTCTACCATGACGTCACTGTTAGTGGATCCCCAAATCTGCTCCAAGCGGTAAACACGCAGACGGTTTGCAAAAGTCGACGCAACGCGGCAGACGTCTCGGCGTCACCGCGTGCTAGCGCCGCGAGCATCTGAGACGTTCCGAGCTGTAATATCGGCCTTCCATGGTTGGTCAAACGTCTACCATGACGTCACTGTTAGTGGATCCCCAAATCTGCTCCAAGCGGTAAACACGCAGACGGTTTGCAAAAGTCGACGCAACGCGGCAGACGTCTCGGCGTCACCGCGTGCTAGCGCCGCGAGCATCTGAGACGTTCCGAGCTGTAATATCGGCCTTCCATGGTTGGTCAAACGTCTACCATGACGTCACTGTTAGTGGATCCCCAAATCTGCTCCAAGCGGTAAACACGCAGACGGTTTGCAAAAGTCGACGCAACGCGGCAGACGTCTCGGCGTCACCGCGTGCTAGCGCCGCGAGCATCTGAGACGTTCCGAGCTGTAATATCGGCCTTCCATGGTTGGTCAAACGTCTACCATGACGTCACTGTTAGTGGATCCCCAAATCTGCTCCAAGCGGTAAACACGCAGACGGTTTGCAAAAGTCGACGCAACGCGGCAGACGTCTCGGCGTCACCGCGTGCTAGCGCCGCGAGCATCTGAGACGTTCCGAGCTGTGATATCGGCCTTCCATGGTTGGTCAAACGTCTACCATGACGTCACTGTTAGTGGATCCCCAAATCTGCTCCAAGCGGTAAACGCGCAGACGGTTTGCAAAAGTCGACGCAACGCGGCAGACGTCTCGGCGTCACCGCGTGCTAGCGCCGCGAGCATCTGAGACGTTCCGAGCTGTAATATCGGCCTTCCATGGTTGGTCAAACGTCTACCATGACGTCACTGTTAGTGGATCCCCAAATCTGCTCCAAGCGGTAAACACGCAGACGGTTTGCAAAAGTCGACGCAACGCGGCAGACGTCTCGGCGTCACCGCGTGCTAGCGCCGCGAGCATCTGAGACGTTCCGAGCTGTGATATCGGCCTTCCATGGTTGGTCAAACGTCTACCATGACGTCACTGTTAGTGGATCCCCAAATCTGCTCCAAGCGGTAAACACGCAGACGGTTTGCAAAAGTCGACGCAACGCGGCAGACGTCTCGGCGTCACCGTGTGGTAGCGTCGCGAGCATGTGACACGTTGCGAGACGCGCTGGCGGTTGTTCCGATAAATGGGTCCTCCCCAAAGACTCCCCTTTCCAAGCAGCCCCGGCACTGACCGTTGTCCCGCGGTTCCGACGAAGTCCACGAGGCGGGCTCGCCGGACGACTCGGAGCTCCAGACGGCCCAGCTTCTGCCGGCGCTCCGGAACCATCCCGGGTTGCGCGGGGGCAGCGGAGGTCCCTTGGCGGCCGGAGCCAGGGTGTCGTCGTACACCTCGTCCAGCACAGTCTCTTGGCGCACCTTGGAGCACACCCACGTGTCGATGGTCTTGCGACGCACCACCTGGGCGCAACGAGGATGATGGCTGTAGCGCAGACATGCACCCTTGGAAGTTACGGCGTTATTACCGGTATGGCGTTGGGGTTTTTTCAGTAATATAACGGAGAACTCATTAGAAATGAAATGACTGACGAGTAAAGTAATTTTGTTAGTATTTTATAGAGTATCGTCTATCAAACTGCGGTAGTCGTTGCTGCTTCTTTTCGATTAAAATTAGTCACGTTTTCGGTCCTTTTAGGTGTCCAACGTGCCATCGCTAACTCGGTGTATTGTACAGAGTCGAGAACCAAACGATACAAAATGTAAAACCGCTCTGTGAACGTTCAATTGCTGACGAAGTTCGTAACCGCGACCCATTGCTGCCAAACGCTGAAATCCAAAGTAGCGCAAATCTGACGTTCGTTAATTTCCGGAAGTGGCCGTAACGGCATTTCATTGCTTCACAAGACGGCAACGAATCTCAGTCGCGCCTTAATTTTGGGTCGCGTTATTTTGACACTACCTTTGATGACAAAAAGACAAACAACGGTTCGAATGAACGTACTAGTTTACACCCATCGTTTCGTACGCTGTCCAGTGACTATGGTGCACTGCGATAGTTTCTCAACTGATAAAGTTGCTTCTTTCCGGTAGCAATCGGAAATGCATCCGTATTATACTTCAAGAAAATTAATTTGTTTCAGTGAATTCCGATCATCAGTTATGCTGGAGTCCCTAGGTTATCGATAGTATGCACCGAGAGTGTATATAATAAAGAATGCGCGGTTAAGACTCGATATTTTACTTCTTCGTTCATCCCAGAAAATTTACGTTAAAAGTCAAGCGGCCAGCGGCTCGACAGAACTGACGCTTCAGACGCACGTCACAGTTCCTGACTGCAACGCCGGAAAGGTCCCTCAAAATTAGCCACGAAACACCGCGTGCGGCTTATGCGGAGGGCAAGTTCGTCTGCTCCTTGCGCAGGGGGTAGCGGTGACGTCAGAACGCCGAGCCCTGATTGGCTGATCGCGACTTCCTATCTCAGCGTCGTCTGCTCCTTTGCAGCGTCGTCTGCTCGCAACGTCGTCTGCGTCTCTCTTACCTTTCCTGCTACTTTCGGAAGTGCAGAGGGTTCATAAAACGATCTTACGCCACAAATACGCGCAAGACAAAACTTGAGAACAAATTTGTATTCACGAAACGAAATTTTCGTAAGTTTTGAGCAGGTTTCGACGAAATCCTACGACAGCTCCGAAGCTGCCTTACGCACTTCTTACGATCAAAACAGCATGGCCGACAGCGTCGCGGTCGCGACGACCAACGGACGTTTATTTTTCTACGTGCGCTTCTCACGCGTCCCGACTACAAGCAACAAGAAAAAAGTAAAAAGTACTTGAAACAGACCACGACGAACAAGAACGCTGGATCCACAAACACCCGGGAAAAGCTCCAACGGCCACGATTCCACCGACAACGACCAAGCGAGCACGGCAGATAGGCCGAGCAGGCACTCCGACTCGGCGACCGTCTGCCCACGACGGACTGGCGTGCTGAATGGAATATGCCCGCGCGACCCTTGTGAACCCTTCCCGTCTTATACTTTGATCGCTAACCTAAATTTTAGATTAAGAGGTCAATCTCTGCCTCTTGTCATCTCCTTGTTTTCCGAGGCAACGGTGACTCTCGCCGGTAAAAAAGTGGTGAATCTCCGACCGACGCAAGAAAGGTAAAGCAGCCATCGCTTTGACTAGCAGACGTAAAGCAGACGACGTTAACTGCGCCAACCCGCCGACGCCGTTAAAGAGTGAGGAGTCTCGCCGCACACGAAAGGAGGGAAAAAGTATTTGGGAGGGAACTTGCGGACACTAACCACCCTCACTATCGGTTCTTAGCAAACAAACCTCGGCGCCTCGGGACACCTCGCCAGTGAGTCCTTTGACTTCCCTCCTTGATGCGTGCCTGCTAGTTGTTAGACAAAAACAACGTACCGCTTGACTTATTTCGTCTGACCTCTGAAAGGCGAAGTCGAGCTCGCTCGACTTCCTAAAGTCGCAGGAAAGGCAAGACAGACGCAGACGACGTTGCGAGCAGACGACGTTGCAAAGGAGCAGACGACGCTCAGATAGGGGGTCGCGATCAGCCAATCAGGGCTCGGCGTTCTGACGTCACCGCTAATTCCTTTCTCATGCGCAGAAGACGAAAATGAGCCCACTTGCGAGGCGTATAGGGTCACTGAGAGTTAAACAAACGCAAGGCGTGGTTTATTATGGTCCCGTCTCTTGCTCCGTGATTCGATTTTTTTTTTTTCAAAATTCTTTTTAACTATATACCAACTCGACTCTCTGACGTCATGCCACTTAGGTGGCGCTGCTTTTGGCACTGCGCATGCGCAGATGCGTCATCTCTCACGAATCTGGTTTCCACCCAGGCGCTGTGTCCAAATTAGGTGTGAGCAAAGCGGGCTTCTTTGGAAACAGTGTGTTGGTCTATATAGGCTATATACTTCGTTTCGCATTAAGTCTGACTGCAGCATACCCAGTAGGCTCAGATGGACCCAATCAAGCAGCGTCAAAAATGCATCGTCACGGCGCTCGGCGTTTTTGTGCATCTGCTATCAGCGGCTAGACGAATCACTGTAGGTTCTAACTGCGCAGGGGCAGGCGCATTCACAACCTTGCGTGGTTAGTCTATCCGTGGTGATAGCAAAACAACGAGATAGAGCGGCTTAGAGCAATAAACCTGTATCCCGTTCATGAGGCAAAAGTGACCCCCACTTGGCTGCCGCCATGTCGTACAATTTTGACCACTAGACACGTCACCGTACCAAATCCTGAAGCTTCTACGCAAAACTGAGCCGAGGTTTGTATCGCGGTCGCTATAAAAAAAAACATGATAAACTATTTTTTTTTTTTTTCAATACCGTTAGCCCCAGAGATCAGTGTCTAGCTCCGATACAAACCCAAAATACAGCACCGCGGCTGACGACATCTAGCGGAGTCATTGCGAAGCTGCCCGAGGTTTTGTCGTAAAAGCACCATTTTAGACTTAGATCAAACGAAATTTAAGTAATATCTACGGTAATGTTATTTAATACCAGCAAGCAATTATCTGTGCGTGGTACTTGGTTAAAATCTAGACGTAAAACGATAAGGTCACGTGTCTAGTGGTCAAAAATGTGCAACATGGCGGCGACCGGGTGGGGGTCATTTTCAGCTACCAGTTTATCGCCCTAAGGTCCTCTGCCTCGCTGCATCAAACGCACAGAGACGAGTGCCGTGACGTGGCACTTTTGGCACTGTTCGATCCGCTCCATTGAACCGCGTCGGTTGCGTCGGTTGTTTAGCGTGAAATTAGCGAGTTTTAGCATTGCATGTTGTACAGGCGAACGCAAGCACTGTGCGTTTGCGTTAGCGTTGCGTGTTTCACACTGCGCGTTTCGCGGTGCCCAAACTGCGGTCTTGGATTGGCGCATGGCGACGACGCGCATGTGCAGCGTGGAGCACGCGACGCTAACGCAAGTGCGTAGCGCGGACGTAAAAAAAAGGTGGGGGGGGGGGGGGGGGGGGGTGTATATTTTTACACGCCCTCGTCACATATAATACACTTCCAAAACTTCAGTTCGACGTATACAGCGTACTGACGTGGAACCGACGGTACCAACGTTCACGAGCGGCTTCATAGCCGAGTTGTACAACTTATTAATGTATAGAACGTACGTGTGACTAACTGCAAAAAAAAAATAAAAAAATAAATAACAAATACAACAAAAAGGAATCGGGGTTTTCTTGGCTCTGCTGTAAAACCTCAGTGTTTTTACATCGAAGCTGTTTATGGCTAGGGTTCTATGCATTTTTGGTACCCGTGGGCAAAAACAAAAGTCAGAAATTGCACGTAAAAGCGCTCCATGGTATGGAAATGGATAATACGCCCCGTCACCTCGATATACATTTCGATAAGGAAAGACGTTCAAACGTGTGATAAGGGAGATACATCCCAGAGCAATGGGCCTTCTCCCGCTCGAATCGGGAGACGTCACTTTAATTATTTATTTTTATATATATATATATATATATATATATATATATATATATATATATATATATATATATATATACCGTTTCACCTACCGTTTCAAAAGGATGTATATTTACTTTAAATAAACATTTGGTGAAGTGTTTTTGTGTGTCTCTTGGTGAATCATTTGTTGTGGTGCTCTACAGCTTCGCTGGCCAACCACCTTCACAAAGGGGAATGGCTCACAATTTTTTATTCTGTTGTCGTTGACGCACTTTAGCTGTTTATAATATGATATATCGCACCGTCATCAAGCCTCTCGTAAAAGTCGGGGCCTTCAGCTCGACGAGAGTGCGCTGTATACGTCGAACTGAAGTTTTGGGGTGTATTACATGTGACAAGCGGTGCAGTGTTTACACCCGCTTTCTAAGAGTGCGCTTCCGTTTACGCGATACAAGAAGTCTGCATTGAGTATAGCCACGCCCTTCGTTGCTTAAGCCATCTTTGGCTACATCTCACTTTGTGGACGGGTGTAGATACCTGGTTGACTATGATCCTTCGCCGTTCCAGCTCACGCTCGAGCTGCTCGTCGAGGGACAGACTCGGCTGGAACCGACTGCGCCCGTCCATGGCCGACCACGCCCGCTGCCGTGCTCCGACCGGTAGAGGAGGCCTAATGTCCGAAGCCCTCGCCGCTGACCTCTGTCGGTGTTGTCACAAACGGTGCAGTCGCCGGTCCGCTGATCTGGATGCAGACCATCACCTCGCAGAGAGTCCTGCAACGCATAAAGACATCTCGGTTGACAGATGGCGCTACTTCCTTATCGAGACTGCACGCGACGACTGTGATCTATTAAATTGAACATAATTTTTTTCTAATGCGCCCTCAGTTTAAAATTAAATGCGGACAACAATAGCAACACTGAAAGTAACGAAGATAAAAGTAAGCGTGTTTGCATAACGACGGCGCTCTTGCTGCCGACGGATTTCGTTTGCGCATCGCCTGCTTTCTTTCGCTGGTCAACGACACGTTCTGACGGTGCTCCCGACACCATGTATCTATATGTGCGCCAATTAAGTGCGACCCGCCACTCGACTCGGTCATCTGCGTCGCCGTCCGCCGATGACCCTGGCAAGTTGTTCGGCCATTTTTTTTTTTTATACAGAAAGGGAGCTGCACTTCGTAATTTTACAAGGTAAAGCACACCGGTGAAGTACACCTTTGACGAAAAGTTTAAATGGCTACGTGCAGGTGCCGATTTTTAAGGCCTCTTTTAGATCCAGCTTTGGTATTTCAGGCACCCTATGCATACATCATCATTAATCTACTCAGACATTTAAAAAATTAGTCCTGCGTCGTCATAAAAAGGATGTAAAAAAACTTATCCTAACATAGTCCGCACCTGTCGAGTTTGTTCTGTAGAGGGTGTTCTCGAGCACGACACGGGCGTCAGTGCATATAAATAAATCAATGAACGGAGTTCATTTAAACTTTATACAAAAGTGTCTTTTGGTAGTACATTTATCATATTCAAATTGTGTGAGCGTATGTCAAAAAAAAAAAAAAAAACTAAACAATTTTTTTTTATATATATCTGGGGGTAGCAGCGTTACCGAGATGCAATATGCGGTTTTCCTCCCTGTTGCATAAGAAAAAAAAACTGGGGTTTTCTAGGCTTAATTTTCCCCCTGCCACCTACACTCCAAATTTTTGTATAATAAATGAGAGAGAGAGAGAGAGAGGTGGGCGTTTATTAAACAATGATGTCAACCAGCGCCTCTACTCCCCTACAGTTTCTTCTGTAAGCGAGTAGCTCTTAGAAATGTCAGCAGAGCTTTCGTGGCTTTGTACCCTTCAGCAGCAGAAATCCATGGACCAAACAGAATACGAATGTTTACTTCATGTTCATTTTGTAGCCTCAGGTCTGTCTTCATAAGCTCTTTTTCACGGCTGTACTCCTTGCATTTAAACAATACATGATCGATGTTATGTGCGAGCGCTTGCCAAAGTGAGCCGTTTATAACAAAAAATAGAGTCATTAAGCTAAAAATACAAACGTTCAATCGTCATGTACGGATATTGGGGATCATATTCAACCTATATCTGAACACGACAGGTATATTTCAAATTTCGTTGAAGTATTCCTTTAAAGGCGAATTTTAAGCGTCCTCTTGTATCTATATTTCTTTTTCTATTTTCTTTGGCCACGTACGCCCTCTGGGAGAGAAAAGTGCTAATTTTACGCAAGCTATCCCCATCATTTCCTTGTAATGAAATGCATCTCGTGCCATACACAACGCCTGTAACCACTCGCGGCTTTGGCTATACGAATAGTGATCGAACGGTCATTTCTCTCCCCGCGATACATCACTCCAAGCTGAGTCGCTAACCCTTTTAGGACTCAAGAATTCAAGCGGCACAAACAACATCGGTGATGTACCGAGCGAGGTTGCAATTGGGCTCCATTCCAGGAAAACAAGCCCGCGTCATTAACCGAAATTAACATCGAAAAGGTAAATTCTTGGATGTATTCCTTGGCACGTACACTTAAGAGATGCGGAAAACAGAACCAAACGACAAGCACCGTTCCAACATTCCGTATAGACCTTTTTTTCTTTCTCAAGCTCGACAATGCGTTCGGAGCTTCCGCTGTAAATTGTCGTGGAACAGCCGCTGTTTTATTCCACCCAGGTAGATCAGCGAAAAAGCCGCGAACTTCATGTTGCCAGATCCCGCTAGCATTTATCGCGTAACTTCTCCGATAATGACTCGTTGTCAGTTAAACGCGGACGCATTGAGCGGGATTTCGACGAATATAATTAGAGGACTCGAAGTTCGCTACTCAGATATATAGTTGCACACATGCTCCGGGTTAAGCCAATCCCAGCTAGAAAACAAGGCGTGCGTTTTTTTCTCCAAACATATTCACACGCGAATCAACGCCTCTTTTGTCTGTATACCGCAAACCGCAAATGCTATCAAGGGACTTTAGCTATATGCGGGTGATAACTGTCTGTCGGGAATCCATCCACATACAAGGAACGACTACTTAAGTCTCTATAGAAAACCATGGTCATGCCCAGTTACAAAAAAAAAAAAAATCAATAGGTATCTTGAAAACGACGCGACGAAAAAAAGAGGCACGCAGCCGATGTAGTGCGTAGTAGTATCTTTCTCAGTCACCCACGGATTGCGATAGCGGCGTGAACGTGCGGGGCCGGTCGGAGGTGGGCGAAGAAGCCTCATGTTTCAGGCAAACCTCGTCGCCCTGCGTGTTTGTGGTCTGCGCGAAATCTCACGTCGAGAGATGGCCGCGATAACCTCCGCGAGGTGAATCGGTTGATGGGCCAAATATTTCTGACCCACCGATCTAGAAATGACGTCGACTGACTTCTCGACAACCACCCACTCAATACACAAGCTTCCGCTTCCGGGATTGATTATCCAGCGACAGTCAGACTAAAGAAAGAAAAACGAATAAAACCGGGGAAAAACGGGGATGGCTCCGGAGAAAACTAATGTACTGCCAACGCTCATGACTCGTTACAGACCCCGTTAATATAAACATCTCGCTATATAGACAACATTTTCGGGAACGAAAACCTGATGAAGAGCGGTCCCCGCTTTAAACGTCGTAATAAACGTTGTAGTAGTTGCCCAGCAGAACACTTCTTTTACTTATCACTCCTCCCGGCCCATTGCTTCAAAGTTACTTAATTTCATCTCTATATATATATATATTGTTGTTGAGAAGGTATTGAAGTTTAAATTTTGGTCTGAGAGGTTGAGAGCCTCTTTTAACAACCCTGAAAAAAGTGACGTCAGAGTTTGCAATATGGAATAATATGGGGTAATTACAACTTGTTCCCGATAAATTACAAGAAATTTGGTGCTGTAAAATAAATGCAGGTAAAGCTCACGCTAGCGGGCAAAAAAAATGCGAATTTTTTTTTTTTTTTTTTGTAAGTTACGCAACATGTGACTTTACCCTAATGACGAGCGCGGGAAAATTGGAATGTCGGTCTTGGAATAACCTCGATTTGCTGTTTTCTCAACAGCTTTTTTTTAAATTTAGATACAATAAATAGGATGCCGGGAGAGTGAAATCTAGGTATTAAAAAAAACGTCTTCCGTTTGTGTAGCTCGAAAAACTGCCGAAGCACCCCTTTAAAAGCGCAATGCTGAATCACTGGAAGTAAGGGATTCGCACCCACTGCTTTTTCCCTATTTTTTTTTTTTTTTATCCAACCACGAAGCCGGCGTTTTTTAAGCTTCGGAACAGGATTTATAGAGCGAACACAGGTCGATAGAATGACTGAAAATGGCTTCCGCAAAGCTATTGTTTAATCACCTTAGTGCAAACAAGTCATTAAACGACATTTTACTCCTTACCATTGCCATTGTGCAGCATTATCTCTTTTTTGAATAATGTCTAGTTGCTTGTTGAACTTCTTGCCTATCTACATTTCTAGTTTGTTTGTTGAAAATGCTCATCTGCTTGGGCCAGGAATTTGAGACCAGATTCACGAAGAGCTTCGTAGGCTACGGCAATTTAGCCAAGAAGTTCCTGGGTTACGCCCATCGTAAGGAGAGAAAACCTTATTCAGGAACGCGTTCTTAACAAGACTCTAAAACAAAACAAAAACAAAATTTTTTTTTAACGACAAAGGTATATGTTTTTTTTTTTTTTTTTTTTTTTTCACGAAAAATAAAGTTTACGAAATATTTACTCCGTTAGTTGCAATCTAGGTGGAAATAGCCCGCCCTAGGCTCCGCCCAGGAACGTAGTTAACAACGGTTCATATCGCGCCTCTTATTCATTGGTTGGGGAGGTGATTGACGTGTGGACTGTTCGTTGTAAGATTGTTTCTCAGTAGTGCAATGGTATTTTTATCGACGATATATTTACGCTTGAGAAACAAATAATCTAGATCTTGTCGTTATTGTTTCAAGAGGTATCCGAAGATCGCCTTTTCCGCATTGGTGTGAAACGATAACAAACATGGCTGCCGGCGTCCACAGAACGCTCAACAAGCGCAGCTCGTCAAGCCATAGAGTTCTTATAATGTACGTTAGAACTTAGAGGTTCAACGGGCGCTAGTGTCTACGCGACTTCCGGGAGGCAAATTGAAGCAGACAGCTATCAGTCTAATTTTGCGGTGCTCCTGTGCATTCCTCTGGGAGAACGCGCGTGAATTTTGTCTCTTCGCCTGAAAATAACATGAATAACCTTTGTTATTTCGGTTGCACCGGATAGTATGTACCTTTCTTGATATTTTGAAAGTGTAATTGCTTTAGTTACAGCATTTGTTTTGCCTTTTTTTACCACTAAACGATGTTCAACTTCGCTATATTTCAGGCCCAAACCTCCGTACCGTGGCAGGTATGTAAAAACGAGCGACCATTCTAAGCAAAACAACGATCGAAAGGAATCTACAGTGTGTTCAAGGTTCGTCAGCATTCCGGTGGCGCTACACTCCGTGCGACGCGACTGGCGCGCCGCCGCGCGGCCGGTACCGAAGGTAGGCAGTGAGAACCCCAGAGAAAACGAAACCGAAACCACGCCGCGTACGTTGGTACGCATTGAAGTCGGAGTGGTGCGGTTGCGCTGGGTTCACAGCATGAAGTGCTGCCTGTGTTGCGTCATTAAGTGCTTCAATAGTTATGCGTCGTATCTCGTGGAGACAAAGTTTCACAGTTTTTCACCTCACCGATGTTTTGTGGGACAGCGACAACGATGGAGCCGTGCCGTACGACGCGAGAAATTTGGTGACC